AGCACACACTGACTACTGGAGTCAAAAAGTTAAATGCACTCTATGCTCCTTTCTCTCCCCGGAGGCTCCCTCTTTCTGCCTCTCTAACTTTCTCTCCTCCCATTTTTATTTTCTATATTTTTCTCTCTGTCATACTCCTGCTTTTCCTCTCTCCCTGACGATTTCTTTCTTTTGCTCCCTCCCTCCTCCCTCCTTCCCTCCCTCCATCTCTGATGATTTTAGCAGAGGTGTGACTCATTGGGCATTGAGCCACAATGTCAGGTAGTGAGGGGAGGGTGGGAATGAGGTGGAGAGAGAGAAAGAGAAAGAGAGAAAGAATGAGAGGGGGAAGGAGAGTTGTTTTAAAAATGGTTAGGTATAGAGTAAAAGTGCAAGGGGGGTTGGAGATATGCAAAATGGAGAGGAATGTGCAAGAGGGAAAGAGTGAGAGTGAAAGTGGGAGACTGGGGAGAGGGAGGGGTGTACAGTCAGCACAAGGAAAACATAAAAAAGGAGGGAAATGAATAATTTCTGCAAACAGTTTCCGTCACGATTGAGATTTTTCCTCCTTGCATGTTTTCACGATTGCTGCTCGTGTTTTGGCCGTGCAGCACACTCCGTGAGCTGACCAATGTGTTTATGTGCAAACCTGTTCATGGGCAGGCCTCCATTCATGAGTTTTTATGCCTTAAAGTAGCTAATTACCCAGGGGGTCATTAATACAAGCCCAGCCTACCAATAAAAAAAAAAAGACCTGGAGGACATAGAGACGGGGAGGAAGGGGAGATGTTTGGAAGAAGGGAAAAGGGCATGAGGAAGGTTGGAGAGAGGGGAAATGGAGATGTAGGGACGGTGGGGGAGGAGGGACAAAAGATGAGAGGTGATGTGATTATGAGGATTTGGTGCGGAGAGGGTTACACAGGCACATTCATGTTCATGTGGCTTGTCAATCAGCTGTCTTTGTGGCCCCTGAGGCGGGGGCTCTCCACTCTCATCTCAGCCTTGGCACTCGTGCATCCACCCATCCACCCACTCACACACACACACACACACTCACACACTCTAACACACACTTGGCTGATAGTACAGACATTTTTTATTATCTCTTCTTGAAATGAGAAATTTGCTGAATGATTTTGTTTTCGATATGACCTGAGGTGAAGGTGACGCACACACACGTACACACACATGTACACACACACTCTTTGAGCTTTGACTCCTGTCCTTAATCAACACTGCGGCTGTGCCAGAGCCATGTCTCTGTCTCCTTTCTGTCTCCATAGTCCCTTCCTTTCTCTCTTCCTCATGTTTTTCTTTCCTACCTAAAAACTGCAGATCATCTCGTTGACGATCACAAAATATAACGACTGTTAAAAACTTCTATTTTCATTAACAACCATGAGCTATACTGTTTTATTTCACCTCTCTAGACCCTAAACATTCCCATGATGTTATTTCTGATGTTTCAGGTGCAGCTCGAGTCAACTCTCCGGAGCTGCTCTCAACACTGCCACCCTCAGATCACTCTCTCTCACTGACCACAGCGTTTAAAAATGAAGGAGAGGTGCCACTGCTCCTCTATCTGTAGAAAAACAAGGAAGTATGTAGACGAGCAGATTGTTGCTTTAAGATGCTCTTCATCTTATTTTCATTGTGCGCAGACAAATTGATCAGTGCTCGGTGCCCTGAAACAACATTTTTGCACGGCTGGTACTTTGGTGTAGTGCTGTTATAAGATCTTGGCGTGCATCTGCTCATTATGATTAATTGTAGAGGGCCTGATCCATCCAGAGTATTTCAGCGGTGGTGACAGAGGCATGGGGAAGATCAAAGTCATCCTGATAGATTGCTATCGCCACTCCCACCTGTTCCCTCTGGAATTTCCTCTCTCCCCAGCATGAGTGCATGCGCGTGCACCTCTGTTATGTCTATCAGACTGTTTGTGTTTCTGCATGTGTGCCTGAGTTTGCATCTGTTACCAGGTGGACGTGGACCTGTGTGTGAAAAGTGTGTGAGCAGTCTGTTTCAACACGTCTGCAACTTGCGGGAATCTTATAATCTGGAGTTGGAATATGTGCTCATGTCTGTGTCTGTCTAGCCATGCTCCACCTCTCTCTCTCTCTCTCTTTCTCTTTTTCTCTCACTCGCTCACTCTTTGACAGCTCTAATAAGTTCAGGAGATCACGTTACACCCCTCAATACATGCCAACTTCTCCCTGTTTTTCTGTTTTACTCTGTCTTCTTGCTTCTTTCCTTTGCCCGTTTCATATAAATGCTGTGTCTCACCAACAGACACTTTCTCATGAACATGAGGCGCACACACACACACACACACACACACTGAATGGGAGTGGGACACAGCATATGCACGCACTGTCTCTGCAGGCCTCTCAGGTTGCTGACATTTTCCATTTTTGCGCATATAAAGTAATAATAATAATATTAGTGGGTGTGACAGAGCAAGGGTCCATTCACTGCGACTGCCAGCCTCCTATAAATATCCCCTTCTTTGGGGGAATCCGAGAAGCAGCAGAGACCTTCAGTTTACACAGCTGAGCAGCATGTGGACGAAACCCTCTATTCTCTCTTTTTCCCTCTTTTTCCTCCCTTTCCTTCCCTTATCCCTGCTCTTCACTTTCCTATCACTTCGCCACTCGCTCCGCTACCCTGCTACCATGTGTCTCTCACATTTTTCTCCCTTTGTCTTCCCTTATCTGCTCCCAGCCGCCTCCCTCCTCTATGATTTCTTGCATCCTCTGTCTGGTGTGACCTCTCACCTTTCCATTAGCTCTGACATTTCTCTCTTTTCGTGTTTGTTTTTAGTGAGAGACATTGTGGTGACACGCTGGGCAAAGTTCAGCGGGTTGGTTTGGAAACTGCAGAGAGTGATGAGGTGAGGCTAATTGCAGGTGGAAGTCACCCTACCTCTCATCGCGTCACACAAACACACACAACACACACACATACAGAGAGACAGACACACGCAAACACACCATCCCATCTGCTGATGTAATCAAAATAATCTCAGAGGCCGTACACACACACGGGTAATCCATACACAACTTCACTAAAATAAATACGCCATGAATGTATTTATAGGAGGAAGTAAACAGTCTTTATTACAAATGTGAGCCTTGATTCATGCGTGTTTATCAGTCTTGGAGACAGACAGGAAGATAGATGGAAATGGCACTATAACCTGCCTTTCACTGGTCTTTAGCTCCCTCTTGTGGATATACTATGCCAACGTTACAGAATCACTTATGTCTTAAAAGATGACGTCACTCTATCTGCCATGTTTCACTTTAAAAAGACACACAGAAAAAGTAATCACAGTGAGTGTCAGGATCACGTGGACCCAAAATCTCGGAGGACAGTGGACTTTTTAAATGTTTTTGGTGTAACTTTACTGCTATGGTTTGACGTGACCGCTGATGACCAGTCATAATATCAGAGACCAAAGGGTTAACCTGTCTAACCAGAACAAGACGACCATGTCACGTGATCGGTGACCTTTCATTAAGAGGAGCACCTGTCAGCTTCTTCAGTACTTCATGTCAATATTTGACCAGGATCATTTCATTTCTGTTTCGGTGTGAATTTCATGGTTTTATAAAGCGCACGTGTCTTCAAATATCTTCTTTTTGAAAGTTCTGCTCTACTCTCTTATCCTATGTATAATTGTTTATTATACCTATGATGAAATGTGGGCAGCCTAGGTAACAAAGGCCTGAAGGCTATACCTACAAATGAGAGGAAATTTGATCATAATCCCACCCATTTTGTTAAAGGGATATTCCAGAGTGAAATTAATTTAGGGTCAAACACACTGTGACACCGAGTTAGACACCCCCTCGAGAGATGAATGTTGCCACCTGCTTGCTTCTCTAACTCTGGGGTCTAACTCGGTGTTACGGTGTGTTCGACCCTAACTTAATTTACGGTGGAATATCCCTTTAAGTTATGCCCATCACACAGTGGAATGAAGCACTGCTTTGTAGGCCTACTGTGCACTGTTTTGTACAAGTAACTTCAATATCCTACCCACAGACTCAAACACTTGCCTATATCCTCACACAGTCATGTCCAAGTTCATTTGCTACACGCGAACAAAAGCAGATTCACGCACACATTTCATCACCTGCATTCATGAAAAACTACTGCCCTCTTTTCTTGAAAAAATACATTCAAAATTTTTCATCAGTCTGACCTTCAAATGAAGGACTTAGATTTTGACTTTCACGTTTCTTTCGTCACCATGACAACTGTTTAAACTCAACTAAGTCAAGAAGACTTGAGAAAAAAGTAAGAAGCCTACCTCTGGAGTTTAAATGAATAAAATCTTGTAAAAAACACTGTTTCCAAGACGATGTTCAGTCTCAAGAAAGCCCACATGACTACATGACATATTAAGTACAGTCCTCCTCTCACTGAGCAAAAGGTGAATTTTATTAGTGTAATTAAAATAAATTTTTCTCTCATTTGATGTGTGCTTATCAGTTTTATACTGTGGTTGACAAACAAATAACACAAGTTTGAATCTATTTCAGAGCATGTAGGATAATTGGAGATTTGATTTTAATAAAGAATAAAGACGTGGGCACGAGTAAAAAGAGGGTTTACAACAGACAAGTAGTTTTTTTTACAACACCTCAAATAAATCTAACAGGAAGAACCCTTTTTAAGGTTGTTGTCATTGTTGTGATGAACTTAAGAGACAGGGGGCGCTCACTTACAGACTACATTTAAATGGGAGACCGAGCATTAGGTTGAGCGTCCACATACCACGTGACATGGAGTAGGCCTACCTGTTGAGGAGCATCTGCCAGTCTAATGTCGTGTCGCCTCAGCCAAACCTGTACAAAGAAATAGACTACTCTTTTACTTTCTGTTTTACTTTTCTTTAAGTTTCCCCCAGCGTTCATTTCGTGTCTCGTTCTCCCCCTGAAACACCATAATCTGTTTATAGCTCTACTGCAGTTCTGTCATGTTTATAAAGAATTTACACCCGTGTTGTTGACGCACCGGTTTAGCTCAATGGTTACTTCTTACCTTGAAGTTTCAACCCAACGGACCGCGGGCTGAAGGGTTCAACCATGGGCGCTGTCTGGTGTTTTTTTCCATTTTTGGTTTTCTTCACAATATCAGGCAGTAGAGTTTTCTATCATTAGTTCAAGACAATGGGCGATTCTTACTGATATCCGGTTAAAGGAAAGTTTCGAGTCACTTTAATCCGAGTTTGTGAGCGTGAATCCTTACATCATGAATCTTCACTGGGGTCTTTTTTTTCCTGTACAAATAAGTCGATAGTGAAGGAGTCTTAAAAGTGGATAAGTATTAACACATTTTCCCTGTTTTGATTGAGATTTGTCCTCACAAAGAAGGAAAGTCTCATTGTGGTTCTTGTTAGGACGTGTCAGATGAGCTCTGACGTAACAGTTTGTGTCCAGTAGGAGTCGCTGTACTCGGCGTGCGCCCTCCATGTAACTTGATTTTGAATAATGTTTGCAATGGATGAACCTAAAACAGCTGAACTTTGATGTTATTGGACAATTTATTCATAGCATTTGACAGCAGTTGTTAGGTATAATGTTTCACTTTTAAAGGACATATAGTGGATGAATGAGTAGGGCTTCTGTCAGCACCTCTGAAAACCAAGTAATTCCACCACAACTGTAGCTAAAGTGCTTGTTCTGTTGTCAGAAAATACTCTTTTATGAGCATTTCAGAAGTTTCCCTCCCAAACAAAACAAAGTCACACTTCATCTATGTGAGGAAATCTCCTCAAATGGGGTCACAGCAAACACCATGCCCAAGACTATTCTGTGAATACATTACAAACTGCAACAAAAGACCACACTGTAGTTTAAAAAAGGCAGAGCTACGGTATTTTTCAACGTATTTCAATCCACTTCATTAATTTAATCAGACAGAAATTTGACTACAGAATATTCCCAGTAAAATCATTTGGTCTGAACTTGTTCCACAGCCGCTGTTATGTCAAACATATTCCAGTAGATGGCGCGCTAAGACCACGAATATAACCCAAGACGAGGACAAAGTCTCAACAAACTTAGTTGAAAAAGAACTGAGAGGCGGTTCAAGGTTTGTTCCTCTGTGCTTCATTTCAACATGATTCTTCTGTAACCTTATTCATTTGTTCTCATAGACATAGATCACCCATGCCGTGTTGACTACAGGTAACTGCAACATCTTATTTTTTAAGTTTGGAAAAAAAATACTGCTTTACTTGACCCAGTCTTTGTCATATGTTGAATCTGGAGCTGTGGCATGTCAGAGTCAGTTTCAAAGCATATAACCTTATTGAGAGGCCGATCAAATTTGGCCATGAGGATTTTCAAAGTGCGAAATAGGGACATCAGTTAGTGAGCGACTTGTGATGCCTCGGTGCTCCACTGAACAACTGAGGAAGTCTTTTGTCCCAGCAGCAGTGAGATTTTTTAATAGTATGAGCTAGGGTTTGACTTGGCACTGCTGCAGAGTTTGTAGAGGTATTCATTTTAGTATTTATTCATTTTTATCAGGCTTTTGTTGTATTTAATCATGTCCTTATCTTTTATTGTACCATTTTAAAATCATGTTTCATTGGCCTTTATTCTCTTTGTTGTGTATCTGGTGTTGAGTTTATGTCTTTCTGATGTCTCCATGCTGTTTGTTGTATGTATGAGTCTTCTTGTCCTGGTGGTGAAATAGTTTCCATCATGCGGGATCAATAAAGTCTACCTTACCTTACCTTACCTTACCTTACCTTACCTTACCTTACCAGTAATCCTCATCCTAGTGAACTTTATTTTCTTCAGCTGAGGCTGAGTTTCTTCAGCCTCCTGTCAAGAGATGACACTCTGACAACAGTCCTGCTCATTTCCACTTCAATATTTTCACTTACAAACTGAACCCAGTAGATGGCGTCATACGATCACAAATAAAATATGGATTTTTAAGTTTACTCGACTTGTGCATGTGATGTGTCAAATCAAACACAGCCTTTACCTGCTCAGTCTGAATCCTCTGAAAGTTTATGAAACAGCTGTATGTTTGTTGAGGAATAAACAAAAAGTTTCCATCTTCTTGAGTCCTTTAACTAGCCTTGACCCTCCATGCCTCCTCCTCTTCTTCTTCCTTCTGTGACCCTCTCTGCAGCGTGGAGAGTAACAGGTCACGGTCAGGTGGGTGCTGAACGGCTGTTCAGAGAAAGTAATGGCTGTCTTCCTGTCGGACAATGGGCTGAGCCAGGCGATAGGGGCGGATGAGACCGGCTTAATGCTCCGTGTAATGCATGTTAATGTAACAGGCACCGAGGGACCGCCGGCCGGAGTGCTTTGGGATTATTTATCACAAAACATTTGTATTCTTCCGTCGGAGAACGCTTGATCCCGGATAGCTGCACACTAATCCTTCACTCCGTTAATTAAAAAGAAGGGGAAACCAATGGAACTGGTGGTGGTGATTTTTTTTTCTTTTCCAGAAATGTAATCATTTCTGGAGAAGCTTAACCATCTGCTTGAGGTTAAGTCTGCAAGCAGATTGTGTTTTCTGCTTATTTAAACCTGGGGATTTTAGTTTTTTTTTTCCTGAAAAGGGGAGGGTGGCACATTACTGGGGCAGCGTGTTGGAGAGATAGGTCTGGTACAATGTGTGTGCCCAGGGGAAGTAGAAGCGATACTTCTTATGTAACTTCTTTTCCACTATGAGAGTTGAAATCATTTCACATGAGTTTGAATTCAGAGATAAGTCATGACCTTTGTTTTTCACGGATACAAATATCAGTCTGGACATGATTATTATAAAGAAACTTAATCCATCCTTCATCTCCATTGATGCCTAATGTTCCTAAAGTTATTCTCCTCAGTTGGCTTAACAGAACCCTTCAAAAACAACCTCTATTCCCACTAGACCCTTCTAATTTGAGAAATGATCAAAACATCCTCAGACATCAATGTCGCTTGTTTTTCATATCAGTCTCGAACTAATCAACACAAATTTCCACAGAAGATGCACCCCCCAGGTTTTAGGGGCAGTTTAACAGAAAATGTTCCCTCTCGTGTGAGGGAGAAATGTTCCCTAAAGGAAGCAGAAATTTGAGCTTCTTGTTCTTTCTTGTTCCTCATCTCTCTCCCTCTCTCTCTCTCTCGACTTTCTTCTTCTTTTTGAGCAGCTAACAAGCCCAGTACAGCCCGGGGGCCGAGGCTGTGTCGTCAGTCCCAAGAAGAGACATTCAGATTTCTAACCACCGCTTTACATTAGGATGCCACTCGTGTCTGTGTAGAGACGAACCCAAATCCACAAAGGCATCCTTCAGTTTCTCCCTCTCTTTCTCTCTCGTTCCCCCTCTCCGTGGCTCAGTGGTTGTCTAACTGACCAGGATTAAGAGGGAAAAGATTAGATGTGAACAAACATGTGCCGCACTCTAAGAGGCCCGAGTTGTCCTCTTCGTCCTTTTAAAAACCAAAGAGCTCAGTGTCAGTACTTTCATCCACTCGAGTGTGATTTCAGAGGATTCATGTTTGGCTTTTTTGTGTGTATTCTAACTGTAAACACCTATGGGATTTTCATCTAATCCAACAATAATACCTGATTAGAGACGAGTATGATTAAGGCTTTATGACATTGCTTTTATGTTGATTGTGTTGATACGTGTCCCCTCGAACTTAAGTGAATTAAAGTCATGTAATGCGCTTTTGAAAGTGTGTACAACACGCAGGTGATTATCAGTGTAATCATTTTAAGCTCTTAAATGTAGCTCGTTCATTTAAATGATGATTAAAATCAAAATATCACCCTGAACCACCAAAGACTGATTATAACACCAGCTCTCGTACGTGATGATTAATGAATGGGACTGTTTTTTAAAATGTGGGTATTCATCTTCAAAGGGCTCTGATTAAAACGCATTAGGATCCAAGGAGTCCACTGGCAGAGTCCACTGGTCGTCTTGGGTCAAAGCCAATGTGTGCTCAGGCCTGCGTTACTGTTTACACGATACACGGAGAAGAAACCAACATAACAGTGTAAGTGTTACTTTCTAAGGTCACATTAGTGTTGCTGTAAATCAAAGTAGAATATTGTCAGCCGTAGGTCACCATGACAAATCCTTGTCCGGCGTCATCTGTTAACTGCAGCCTAGAAAACGACACCCACAATACAATTCGTCCCCTAATCCAAATCTGGCTCTGACGTCTGGTGTCAAACTTACGCCTTCTTGTCTCCTTAATGGGACAGAGGAGCAGACTATGGGATGTGAAAGGGTTAAACGTCTACAGTAATTAGAGGCGCACTTCGCGTCGGCGTCCTCCAATACGGAGCAGCGAAAAGCAACGTCTCCCCCCTTCACTCTTTCGTCTCCCCCTCCTTTCTCTCTGTCTGACTGCCTCTCTCTTTCTCTCTTTCTCTCTCTCTCCCCTCTCTCTCTTCCATACACACACGCCTCCCCATCAGCTCCTCCAAGTGTCTAATACACTGGAAAATCAAAGCGCGAGCCTCCCCGTTCACTCACCACTGGTGTTGCGCGTGGAGCACAACAGAGAGAAGGAGAGATGCTTTCCTCTCTTGTCCCTTCAGTTTAACTATCAAGGAAAGTTATCCTCACACAAAGGTGCTACAACCTTTCATGTGAGCATTTTTTTAATCAGTATTTGGGACAGACTGAGTGTTTTTATGCACTTTTCAGCAGCGCAGCTGAGCGAGGCGGGAGATGTCTGGGTGAGGTGATTTTACGCACGCAGCTGAGATGGATCACAGACTCTCCAGAGGCAGTTGGGTGTCGGTAACCGGGCTTGTCATATGTCTGCTGCTATGTGCCTGTGTAGTGGACCTGGTTCTTGCACAAATTCGTTACTCCATCCCTGAAGAACTGGAGCATGGAGCTTTCGTGGGCAACATCGCAGAAGACTTGGGCTTGGATGTGGCCAAGCTGTCAGCCCGTCGGTTTCGTATAGTCTCCGGCGCAAAGAAGCAGTATTTAGAGGTGAACTTGGAGAATGGCATCCTTTTTGTCAACGAAAAGATGGACAGAGAGGAGCTGTGTGAACGAAGCCCGAGCTGCTTTTTACACCTACAAGTGGTCATTGAAAACCCTTTAGAGTTGTACAGAGTTGAAGTGGAGATTTTAGATGTAAATGATAACTCCCCCAGTTTCCCTTGGAGTGAGTTTAATCTTGACATCACGGAGTCGGCTGCCCCCGGCTCCCGTTTCCCGTTAGAGAGCGCACAGGACCAGGACGTGGGCACCAACTCTCTGCGCTCCTACCAGCTGAGCGCAAATGAGCACTTCGTGCTGAATATCCAGACGCGCAATGATGGAAGCAAGTTTGCTGAGCTCGTGCTGGACACCCCGCTGGACCGAGAGCAGCAGAAAAAGCACGAAATGGTTCTCACTGCCTTTGACGGAGGGTCACCTGAACGTTCTGGGACAGCACTGATAACTATCACGGTGTTAGACGCGAACGATAACGTGCCCGTGTTCGACCGCTCAGTTTACAGAGCGAGTCTGGTGGAGAACGCGCCGAGGGGGACGCAGGTGCTGAAGCTGAACGCCACAGACTTGGATGAGGGCTCCAACGGTGAGGTAACCTACGCGTTCAGCGGGCACGCACCTCTTAAGGTGCGAGAACTGTTCAATGTGGACCCGTACACAGGTGAAATCCGAGTGAAAGGCGTGGTGGACTACGAGAAAGCCAGTGTTTATGAACTGTATGTGCAGGCAAAAGACAGGGGACCCTCTGCTGTGGCAGTCCACAGTAAAGTGCTGGTGGACATCCTGGATGTGAATGACAACGCACCTGAGGTCATCCTCACGTCAGTGTCCACCCCTGTGCAGGAGGACGCGCCACCGGGCACGGTTATAGCTGTCATCAGTGTCATGGACCGGGACTCGGGAGAAAACGGGAACGTGGACTGCCAAATACCGAGCAACGTCCCCTTCCAACTCCACTCATCTTTTAAAAACTATTACACTTTGGTGACGAGCGAGTTTCTGGACAGAGAAGCGGTGTCCGAGTACAACATCACCCTCACGGCGCGAGACCTGGGCTCTCCTTCGCTTTCCACCAGGAAAACCATCCTCGTACAAGTGTCTGACATTAATGACAACCCCCCACGGTTCTCCCAACCTTCATACACTGTTTATGTGACCGAGAATAATGCCCCCGGCGCTTCCATTTGCTCCGTGACTGCATTCGACCCCGATTCTAACCAGAACGCCTATCTGTCTTATTCTATTCTCGAGGGTCAGATTCAGGGCATGCCCGTGTCCACTTATGTCTCAATCAACTCCGATAATGGTAACATCTACGCACTACGCTCCTTCGATTATGAGCAACTCCGAAACTTTCAGATTCTGGTTCAGGCGCAGGACGCTGGTTTCCCTCCTCTCGCCAGTAATGTCACAGTAAATGTCTTTGTCTTGGACCAGAATGACAACGCGCCGATTATCGTGTCCCCGCTGCCCAAAAACGGCACCGTGGCAGCAGAGGTGGTTCCGCGCTCCGTGGACGCTGGGTATCTAGTGACCAAAATAACTGCGTTAGACGCGGACGCAGGGCAGAACTCCCGGCTGTCATATCAAGTGTTACAGGCGACGGATCCCGGACTGTTTAGCGTGGCTCTGTACACGGGTGAAATCAGGACTATTCGCCGGTTAGTGGAAAAAGACGCTACAAGACAGAGGTTGGTAATATTAGTCAAGGACAACGGGCAGCCGCCGCTCTCCGCCACTGTCTCAATTGTCCTCACAGTGGTAGACAGCGTGCCCGAGTCCCTGTCAGATTTCGGAGATCTCACACTCAGCCCACAACCCCCCTCCAACCTCGCAATCTACTTGATCGTGTCACTGAGCACAATATCTTTGATATTCCTGGTGGCAATTATCGTGCTGGCTGCGGTTAAGTGCTACAAGGACAGGGAGACCATCAGCGGGTATAATCTCCCCCCATTCGCCTGCTGCTGTTGCGGGGGGTTTCAGCCCGATCCGCCTCCGGAGGTGTTCAAAAAGTCGAACCTCAACCTGCAGATTTCCTCCGCCGCCAAAGTGCCAACAAACTGTATGGAGGTGAATGGAAACAGCAGCCTCTCTCAGTCATATTGTTACAAAGTGTGCCTGACTCCCGAATCAGCCAAAAGTGACTTTATGTTTCTGAAGCCATGCAGCCCCGGCAGCACACCGAGGAACAACGAGGCGAAGAGCGCGGAAAACTCGTGGAACGCGCAGAGCAGGAGCGCATCTGTGAACAACGGAGCAACTACTCCCAGCGAGGTACAGTGAGATCAGCATACAGTATAAGACAAGAAAGAAAATACTGCTCATTCGAATGAGCCTGTTTCACCCACTGTCACAGAAAAATTCATCTTAATTCACCTCCTGATCAGAATCTAGACTCTGACATTGCCTCATTGAAGGTCAAATCACTCATCACGCCAGGCTGATTTGAAGTCAACTTGAGAGCAAAAGACAGAGCTCTCAGTCTCCACACAGTATGTGTTGTCCCACCTGTTTTTATAATCACGACAACAATTAATCCTCTTAATGCCACCTCAAGTTATGTTCGGCACACGGGAAACGAAGCGAGACGATGTGAGATTAATTTTTAATTGACATGTTAATGAAAGTGTTAAACCCTGTCTCGCAGGGAGCATATGCTGTGCGCATAGCGTGTCTGATCATCTGTATACTGAAATGAGATATCAATTACTGTGTGAGAGGAGGAGAGGTGCAAGCTGACTTCTCTATTAGCCGAAGTGACATTTCCATGTGTCATCACAACACATTTCACAGATATAAAAAAAAACCCTGCAACTTCTTTTGAGATGGAATAACACGACTTGTTTTGTTGTAGTTTTTGACCTACATCATCCAGTGTCATTACGACACCCTTGAGAACACGCACACACCCACACACACACCTGAGTTTGAACAAACAGCAAGGTTATAACGAATAGGGCGAACGCCACCATTAATACATCTGTCCTGATTTCAGACGATCGTTCTTCGACCACTGAGATTCACGACGCGCCTCCTTGTTCTCAAACTAACAATACAGGACAGATAACCTCTCTAACTATGCCTCAAGGGCATACGCGCGGCCGGACCATTATATTACACACAATGTAGCGTGCTCGCAAGGGAGGCTGTCTATTATTGATGAAAAATGGCAAATAGCCGCTTTTGGGGAGTCAGGGGAAGAGGACACTGGGAGGAGAGGGGGCAGGGGGGCGCAAGGACATGGCTGGACTGAGACGTGGGACGCCTGTAGATCGGAGAGAGAGAGAGAGAGAGAGAGAGAGAGAGAGAGAGAGAGAGAGAGAGAGAGGCTTCATATTTGTTGAGCAAGGGAGTGGAGAGAGGAGGGGTGAAATAGAAGTATTCAGGGAGGAAGGAGACAGGAGAAAGGGAGTTTATGGAGGCAGGATGACTACACTCGTGTTTTCTACTTCTAATAAATCGGTTCGCAGCGCTCCTTTATTTTGTAATTAAAAACGCAGAGGGACAAAGACCCCTGATACCAGACTCCACCAGTCAAGACTGTCAAATGTCACCTCGGTCACTGGCACACACACCTCTGGCCACAAGAGGCATTTCGAGGTCACGGGGATTGTTCTGCCTGCAGCTACGCTCCTTCAGGAGACAGCGTCCTTCATTCCTTCTTTCCTTCCTTCCTTCCTTTCTTCTATCCTCCTTCCGTGCTGTTAATTGGTGTCCCTCTGCGTGAAGACCTCGCGAGGTCGTCAGTGACACATTTTATCTGAAAGGCAAATCACCAGGAAACTACTTAAGCGCGTCGCAGGCCTGCTAATGAGTTGAAGGTGAAAGGGAGGGTTGAACACATGTTCAGGCGCGTAAAGACACGCAGGACAGGTGCGTGCACGTGAACGCGTGGAAGTGCGTGTTCGAGTCTCTTGATTTGTGCATATACAGCTGCGAGGAGCGTAAACTTTTCAAGGTTTTCTCTGAGACTTTTAATTAAAAACCTTGCTCGAGGAGCGTCAGGCAAATATTAATGTAAAATGATGCATAAAATCCACAAAACAATGACGTGTGTAATTTCTTAATTTCCTCCCTGGCACGGTTTCCTTTGAAGATTAAAATCATGTTTCGTTTCATCCCGGTGGGGTTCTAATTGGTTTTGTGCCTACTTGGCAAGGGGTGTATTTTGAATACCGATTTCAATAATACGCTTACCTCGCATTCTCCTTGTTAACAGTTTCAAGTGAATTAATAGAGCGTGGAATCTATACTGTGAGTCTCAGACGTGGAATAAATATCACGCGGGTGCTCCCCATCACCCCTCCCTCTGCGCTACAGTGGATAAAAGCAAAACTAAGTGACAGGCGAGCCGTAGCTGAAGGCAAGAGCACCTCTGCTCATAAAGATGATGTTCTTCAAAATATCCACAGGGTGGCAGTCACGATCCATGTGACAGTGCCCGTGTCTCCATTTCAGGACGAATACAAAGATAGACTGCTTCTCATGTCAATTATGTCTGACCTCTACTGATTCAAGAGGACGAAATGAACAGACGGTGTTTTTCTCTGAGACTCTCTTGACAGACATTTTCGCCAACAGACCTTGACAGTGACAGTACACTTCTGTTTGTCTCTCCATGTTTTGAAAATCATTTCTATGAAGCCAAAAATTTAATTCTATCTTGTTTGTTTTTGTCCTCCAGTTGAAGCAGCCAAACACAGACTGGACTCTTACAAAGAACCAGAACTCCTCTATTAAAAGGTATCATTTCTAACCTCACTCTTTCATCAATATTTCATTAGTTTGAAGATTAACGTCAAAGATCTGTTTTAAAAAAAGTCATCATGCTCCTGTGTTTTTCTTGCAGTTATAATTCTATCAACATGGATGGCACCCTCATGCGTAAGGCCATGCATGCGGACCCAGAAAACTATGTTACCTCTATGGCACCCGGACAGTACTGGACCTGGGGGACTCACATGAGAGGCATGAAAGGTAAGAGATACTAACTTACTTACTGCGCTCATGATATACATTTAGAGCTTGTCCAACACCCAAACATCATTTCTGCATTTGAGAGGACAGTTAGTATCCTCAGGTATTTTGTTGGTGAGATTTTGCCATATCAACATTATTATTCTATTTTATTTTTTATTGTCAAAGTCATTTTGTACCTTTCGCCTTTTGACATTTAAGTGTAACAAACCCACTGTTCAAATACAAACAGTACAGCAGCATCACTAGGTCAATACTGAATAATCAAGTAGTTTCCTCTCCTCTCCTGTCCTTCTCGTCTCTGTCACACTACAGATTATAAGATGTCTCCGTCCACGAGTGGGGTCCCCCCTCGCCCTTGGACTCCTCGCTGCACGCCTCCTCCCCAACAGCAGCAGCCCTCCATCCCTCCTCACCCTCACCCACACCCACCACCAGACTATCACCACAATATGTACATCCCCGGGACCCCATCGGGCTTTTGCACCCTGAGGCCAGCAGTGCAGCGAAGTGAGCTGGATGTCCACAACTCCTTCTCCACTTTTGGCAAGAAGCGACGACTTCAGATGTCCCCGCAGGGAGAGGCTGCGATTATAAATAATGACCTGTACAATGACTGACGTATCAATGACTGTCAGAAAGGACGATCATTATGATGAAAATTGGATCTCAACACGGAGGAAGAGACCATTCGATAGATATAAAGAACATTTGTTTTGGGTGAACTGATTAAAAACAGAGGATGAGCAATTTATAGAGTAAGAGACGTATTGAATGAACAGTTTATTTAGGCCCAAATGATGGGAAATGGAGTCTTATGTCAACTTCTGTGTCACGCCACTTGATCAAGGCCAATATATGTGTCTGCCTAGTAATATTGTTGCTCTTATTATCATATTATTATTTAGACAATCAGACTGGTGCAGCAGTTACATCCATGTTTTGAAAAAGCATTGGTGGTCAATCATTTTGCACATCTTTTTCAATTTATGTTTCATGTTTTATGAAGAGAAAAAGTCTTTTTCTTTTGTATGTTTTCTTTTTTCTTTCTGACAAAGCTTGTGTGAATATGACAAATTGTGTGATAATGTATATGCAAGCTGCAACATGATGCAGATAACTGTAAAGGCTGGGGGATTGACCCTACACATGTACTGTATACATTTATGAGAATAAAGTATTTTTTTCATAGCTTCTCTTTCAGATCTTTTAAACATGCTCATGTAACCTGCCTGCTGTAATCCATAAAAAACAAGGCCTGTTTCCCTGAGCACATGCACTGAACACAGAAGCACAAAGATGCGAGTTTCCTGGATCTGTGTTTAATAGGCTTGGGTCAATTGTACGGGGTGAAAAAGTTCCACAGTCACTCTTACAAGGTGGAAAGCTTTTCGCCTTGGTAAGCTGTTTTTCACGGTGAGGAATAAACACAGTGAAATGCTAACATATGCTAATTGGAGTGCTTGCATTTCCATTTGCCCGCAGAGAATAGTGGGGTTCATTAACTGAACAAACAGAACCTCCTCTCTCGAAATATCACTTTAATTAAGACCACGAACACGAATACAAGCGTCAAGGGGAAAGAGGGGGGCTCAGCTCCAAATGCCACACCTGTGTGGAAGCTCAAGGGCCTGTGACTCCTCTCTCTGCGTGCCCTTTTACATCTAACTTCTCAGGGAATTAGTTCCTACCATCAACAGATGAAAGTTGGCCACCGGCCAGATATGAACAGGGTAATTAGGTCGTCGCATGGCTCAGATTGAAAATAATTCCGTTAATAAGGAAAGGGGTGTCCGTAGAGAGGATGGAGGAGAGGAGGATCACCTCTGCGGTAAGGTGATCCACAGGGACGGCTGAAGGGGCAGCTGGATGTAGGTCAGGCAGGCTTACTTTTATATGTGACTGAAGATCAAAGTAGTGTAAGAATAAGTCCGCAATAAGAATGACTTTAAAGTAGTGAAAATAAAAAGTTGCCTTAAGATATTTTAGGGGACATATTCAGCTAGATCAATCTAAAGTCCCAACTTAAAGACCAAACAAACGGCATTGAATGATTATAGTTTATTTCAGGCTCTATGACAAAATAATATAGATTTAGTTGGCAGTTAGGGCTAAAAAAGTAATTTTACTTGTTTGTATGCATACAGGATCTTTACAGAGGTCAGCTCATGACACCTTTCATTCTCACCCATGATGGTCATCTGCGTTAGGAGCTGTCCAGGCTCATGGTGCTGAAAATGTAAGGGTCAGTGGTTGTTTTTCTGGCCAGATGCAATTTCTTTAGATGTCCACCAGATGGTGCCTATGGTACAAAGGAAGAGAAGTGGTGCAGTGTGTTAGAGTTAATGCTTTCGAGGCACCTTTCTTTTCTTCTTCTCCACTACATACACAAGCTTCAAATCCACACCAGGCTAACACTGTTAACACTTTTAATAACTTACCATTGAATTTAAAGAGACAAACAAAAGTCTTGCAAATATGTGTAAGGTTAAAACTCCAGCTATAGGCAGCTGAAAGAACTACATACATAGTTACAGTCAATGGGTTAGGGTCTTTTCTTTAGAACTAATTATAAAGGAAACATTCATATAGTATTTTACTGTGGTTGAGGCAGCACCACAATGATGTACAAAAACTGTATTACAGCACTTTACAATAAGGTACACAAAATTACAGTAGATTATGAGAAACTAATCAAGAACTAATGAGGAACTAATGAGTAGTTACTGAGGGACTAAGGCACATAAAATTTGAGTAGTTACTGAGGAACTAACTAATAATTAACTAACTATTAGTTAATGGTCAGTTACTGAGGAACTAACGAATAATTAACTAACTATTAGTTAATAGTCAATTCTTCAGGAACTCCTGACCAAATTTCAGAGGAGTAGTTACTGAGGAACTAACTAGAAACTCATGGAGAGGATGTGCCAGGTTGTCCAGGACAGTCATGGGCATGATGAAGTAATAATTCAGTACTCATAAACTAGTCCTCATGATGTCTTACTTTACTTTAAGGTACACTAAAACGGTAGGTAATGACTAAGTCATAGTTAGTTCCTCCGTGACTAATTCGTTCCTCGTTAGTTCCTTTTTATGCTCCTCATTTGCTCCTCAGTAACTATTCATTAGTTCCTCACTAACTACTCCTCTGATATTTGATCAGAGGTTACTGAAACTCCGACCATTAATAGTTACTAATAGTTATTTCCTCAGTAACTACTTATCTGAAACTTGATCAGGGGTTACTGAGGAACTGATCATTAACTCATAATTAGTTTATTATTACTTCCTCAGTTACTACTCTAATTTTGTGTACCTAAGTTCCTCAGTAACTACTCATTAGTTCCTTATTTTTTCCTCAGTAATTACTGTATTTTTGTGTTCCTTATTGAAAAGTGTTACCCAGCATTATGTCTTTGATAAGTAAAAACAAACAAACAAACAAACAAACAAAACGAATGAACAACTGCAATATACTGTACACTTTGTCAAGAGTGAAAATAGTCATTCTACAGACAGAGTTGCCCTTGTATTGTAAGTGTAACGCCAGAGAGGAAGTTTTCCTTTTTATATTAAACCTGTTTGCCGAAAGTGCTTCAGTGTATAAAAATATCTTAATTATATGACTGATGTTTTCCATAACATAACCAGTACAGAAGATTAAGAAGAGGACAGTTATTTAACCCAGAGATGAACTGGAGCTTTCTCTTTCATATCTTTTAAACATAGAGGAGAGTAGAGGAGTTACATTGCACTGTCAGGTTGAGGATTATTAAAGTAAAGCACATGCAGCATTTTTGTGATCCATTAAATTCTAATCATAATGAATAACAGATCATTTTAGGCCTTTTCACCATGTTCATAAACTGTGCTCAGTTTTTTTAACTTCAGTGATAATAAGTTAAGAACTGAAAGAGTATCTTTAATTATTTCCTGGTCACAATGAGTGTGCTTCTGAGGGTGAACTAAATAAAATTTTATCACAGTGTTAGTAAAATATTTCACCACAAGGGGGCATCTTTGAGTAAGAATCGTTGATAACCTTGTAGACACAGTTTTGAGGGTAGATACATTTTATTTCTCATTCATACAGTACAAAAAAAGGAGTGTGGATAAAAGCATTTGTTTTATCTGATTATTTGGGGGGGGGGGGGGGGTTAGAGGGCAAGTTAGAGGCTGGAGGGGTGGGAGATGTATAAATGTTCTCTTTTTTTAAGATGGTAACACATGAAACTAAATCTAGAAGTATGTGAGTAAGTGTAAGTCATGCCTCTTGATGATGATTCAATTAAAATGCGAATAAACATCCATGGGTGATAGATTTCATTCTTGGTTTAAGAGTTGTCATGGGAATGTGGGTGTGTGTGCTTGTGTGGGGATGGGAGTAGGAGTAGGGAGGGGAGGGGGGGAATACTTTTCCCATATTTATTTCAGACAAAAATCCACTAAAATCTTAACTTTTGAAATTGTATTTATTCATTTTCTTCATTCTAATATTGAAATGTAAGGTTTGTCTTTGTGTCTTACTTAAATACGATGTCTGAGAGGGCTGTTTTTCTATCAACAACAAGACTAACCTGAAATCAATAACATGGAGGAAATAACTATGAGTTGGTAATCTTTCTGAACTATCACAAAGACTTTTTTTCTTCCATTTAAAACGATATACTTCAGAAATACTCTACATTAGACTACTTACAAATTAAAATTATATTTTATATAATTTAATTTAAAAAATCTAAATTTTTTTTTTTTTTACAAATTCACATTGTATGTCAAAGAGTATAACTTTGAACACATAGCTGACCTATATTTGCTCTTTTCCCCCTGTATACTTTATAATATGCTGTTATGCATTACACTGGCAAACTAATTTTAAATGAGCTCCCTCTTAAAACTGTCTCATACTTGGCACAATCTTCTAAAATAGGCAATATTTACACAAACATAATGAAAGAGAGGAGCCTGTTGAAAATGTTCCCCAATGAGAGAATTATAATTTGACTTTCTCTAAAGAGGAATAAAAGGATGTGTGTTTTACAAATGTGCTGAGATGCCTTTTTATGTTTTTTTTTTTGTTGTTGTTTTTTTACTGTAATGTGTGTCTTATGAAATTTCTAGCGGTCTTACTGTTTACTTTTACAGCTGTCTGAGTTTGTGACAATATGTGTCAGGAGGCATGTGGCATCTGGATATCAAGAAGCAGGGTAGTTTTTAAATTGGACTTAAACGATAACGATAAAAAGAAAAGAAAAACAACATCAGCATAAGAGTTTACCTGCAGCCACTCTCAAAGCTGATTCTTCAGCACTCGCTGCGCTATGTTCACTATCTGTCACATGGTGTCACTGTCTACCACTGAAGCAAAAAATACATATCGTCTCTAAAGTCATGACACACCCATTTCTAAGGGGCTGGATGCGGGTTTTTGGGAGATAAACTATTTCAAAATTAGCAACACGACCCACACACATGATTCAGGACATTTTGTCAGATATCTGATGCCATTAAAAGCATCACAAATATTTATTCTATGGAGTGTATGTTTGCTGCAGACAAAAGGATGCATTTTTGGACCACTGTCTTTGTCTTGTGTTCAACATGGCCCAGAGCTTTGTCTGTGACTCGTTACTCCATTGCCGAGGAGATGGAGAGGGGCTCTGTTGTGGCGAATCTGGCTGCGGATTTGGGACTTGAGCTTGGAGGATTGGCACAGCGAGAGGTAAAACTTGACATTTTTCACAACAAAAAATATTTAGATGTCAATAAAAAGACGGGGGAGCTGTATATTGTGGAAAAAATGGACAGAGAACAGCTTTGTCCTAAAATAGCATCCTGTTTTCTAAAGCTTGATGTGATCATAGAAAGCCCTTTACGCATCTTCAATATTGAGCTTGGAATAACGGACATTAATGACAACGCTCCACATTTTCGACGAGACAGAGTAGAGCTCGACGTTTCAGAATCAGCAACACCAGGAGAAAGATTCTCCCTGCCCAATGCTATGGATCCGGATGTTGGCGTAAATACGATAAAAACATACAGACTCAGTCTCAGTGAACACTTTACTATCGAAATTCAGACGGGCAGTGATGGAACTCAGTATGTGGATTTGGTGTTGGCGAAATCTTTAGACAGAGAGAAGCAGGCGGTTCATAATCTAATCCTGACTGCTGTGGATGGCGGGGTCCCTGTGCGCTCCGGCACTGCCAACATTATTGTGAATGTCCAAGACACAAACGATAATCCTCCTCAATTTGACCGGCAGACCTACACTATAAACATGACGGAAAATTCCCCCATTGGAACATTGGTGATGAAGCTTAATGCCACAGATCTGGATGAGGGTCTTAATTCAGAAATCGTGTACTCGTTCACTCTTTACACGTCAGAAAAAACACAGGATGTCTTTGCGCTGAATCCCAACACAGGGGAGTTAACTGTGAAAGGCACCATTGACTTTGAAGATATGAAGATTTATGAGATGCACATTGAAGCCAGGGACAAAGGGGCGCATCCATTGTTAGGTCAGTGTAAAGTAGTGGTGCACGTGATCGATATGAATGATAATTATCCGGAAATTACTATACAGTCCGTCAAAAACACAGTGGATGAAAACATCTCTGTGGGGAGTGTTATTGCTGTAGTGGGTATAAGTGACAGAGATACGAATGAGAATGGGGAAGTGAGCTTATCCATTAATAAGAACCTGCCATTTATTCTAAACAAATCTTCAGATAGACCCATACATTACAAGCTCATTGTGTCCGCACCCTTAGATCGAGAGTTAGTACCTGAATATGACATCATGCTGACTGTAACAGATGCAGGAACGCCTCCTTTATCTGATAACGAAACGATACATCTACACCTGCTGGATGTTAATGATAACGCGCCACAGTTCCCTCAGTCATTTTATACCATCCGTGTGATGGAGAATAACGCACCTGGAGCCCTGCTCAGCTCCCTCACTGCCTTTGACCCTGACCTCCATGAAAACCAGTATCTAGTTTATTTCATCCTGGAGAAGGAGATAGCCAACACCTCCATGTCCATGCTGTTCTCCATCAATCCAGAGAACGGAAATCTTTACGCACTCAAAACTTTTGACTATGAGATTGAGAAGGACTTTCTTTTCCACATTGAGGCCAGAGACTCTGGCTCTCCTCCTCTCAGCAGTAACGTCACAGTCCACATCATCATTGTGGACCAGAATGATAACGCTCCCGTCATTGTGTCTCCGTGGAGAGCACACGGCTCAGTGGTGGAGGAAAAGATCCCCAGGTCCACAGATAAAGGCTCTCTGGTTGCCAAGGTGATAGCCTTGGACACAGACTCTGTGCACAACTCTCGGATCACCTACCAGTTTCTGCAGGTGACTGACGCCACCTTGTTCAGTCTGGACCAGTACAACGGAGAGATCCGGACTATGAGGATGTTCAGCTACAGAGACCCACGCCACCAGAGACTGGTTGTTGTTGCCAAGGACAACGGGCAGCCTGCTTTGTCTGCTACAGTCACCATCAAGCTGTCCACAGTGGAGACTGCTGTCAAGGCCTACTCTGACATGACTGAGGTGCCTCTGGCGTACGACATCTTCAATGACCTGAACCTGTACTTGGTCATCGGTCTGGGCTCCGTGTCATTTCTCCTGCTCATCACCATACTGGTCACCATCGTGCTCAAGTGTCAGAAAACCAAGCCCAGCAAAGCGGCTCCTCCCTGCAGGAACAGTGTGATCAGTGAGAGGAACTCCACCATCGCAGACTCCACTCTGGTGTCCAATGATGCCTACTGGTACAGTCTGTTTCTAGCAGAGACCAGGAAAGGAAAGCTGGTGGTCAGACAGCCTGTGCCAAAGGGATCCAGATACATAGTGTCCAGTATACCCAGAGGTACAGGACTGACAGACACCAGTGACTCAGCAGCCTCTACTCTGCAGGTAAGAGTCCAAGAAACTTTAACTTTTTTAATGCAATAGGATATTGCAATAATAACAAGGTAATAAGATATCATAAGATATTATTTTTTTCCAAACTTTAAATATCATAACAAAAAATCGAAGAAATAAAAGAAATATAGATCACTTTAATTCAAATATAGTTTTTTTAAATTAATCCATCATGCACACAGCCCCAATCCATACTAAAGATGGCGCTGTTTTAAAGATAAATGCAAGCTTGTGGTCCCTTTGAAAGCAAAACCTCAGCACAGATGGTGAAAAAGGCGGACAGCTTCGTGGTGCTGAAACTCCAGTCAAGAGACGTGTTCTTGTTTTTTGCTTCAATGCTTAAGTACTCTCGGAATTCTTGAAAAATATGTATCGGATCGAAGAAGTTACAACAATTCTCCTTATCAGTGGGAATTTATATTACCGGGGTTAACGTTCAGTACATGCGGACACAACAATGGGACGCTTAGTAACAATGGAGACATTCATAAGGTACGTGCTGCTCCTTCATGTCGCATCTTTCATCAGTGAAATATCGTCCTCGGTGACTCATTATTCAATACCCGAAGAAATGAAAGAGGGATCAGTTGTTGCAAACATTGCCGGCGATCTAAATATTGATGTCAAGACACTGGCGCAGCGAAAGATGCGAGTCGACATCATTGCAAATAAGAAATATCTGGACGTGAACAAAGAGACTGGGGAATTGTACATTGTTGAGAAGATAGATAGAGAGCACATCTGTCCTGCAAAGTCGTCTTGCTATCTTAGAATGGAGGTAATACTCGAAAACCCATTAAGGATATTTAATACAGAATTAGAAATTCTGGACATAAACGACAACGCCCCACAGTTCAGAAGAGACGCCATTCATCTGGATATCTCTGAAGCTACGCCTGTAGGAGAGAGATTCTCTCTGAGTAATGCAGCTGATCCTGATGTCGGAACAAACTCGGTAAAAACGTATCTTCTCAGTGAAAGTGAACATTTTAGTATTGAGGTGCAGACTGGAAGAGAGGGGACGAAATTTGCTGAACTGATTTTGACAAAGGCCCTAGACCGGGAGCACAATGCTGTTCATAATTTGATTCTCACAGCTGTAGATGGAGGCACACCGGCTCGATCTGGTACTGCAAGTGTGATAGTTCATGTTTCAGACACAAATGATAACCCTCCTGTGTTTAGCAAAGTAAATTATAACATTAAAATAATGGAAAACTCTCCCATAGGGAGTCTTGTTATTCATCTGAATGCCACAGACTTAGATGAGGGATCTAACTCTGATGTAACTTACTCTTACAGTTTATACACATCAGAGAAAACACAGGAAACATTTCACCTGAATCCCTCCACTGGTGAAATCACTGTTAAAGGCATGCTGAATTATGAGGATTTCAGGATTTATGATATGGAAGTTATAGCTACTGACAAAGGAGCCAACAGTTTATCAGGACAGTGTACCATAAAGATTCTGGTAGAAGACATGAATGATAACCACCCAGAAATATCTATTAAATCATTTCAGAGTCCAGTCAATGAAAACATAGAACTAGACACAGTGATAGCTGTGGTAAGTGTGAGTGATAAAGACTCTGGTGATAATGGAGTGGTTGATCTTCATATTCCAGATAATATGCCTTTCAAACTGAGAGAGTCCTCTGATAACTATTATGAGTTAGTGGTGTCAGAGCCCTTAGACCGTGAGAAGGTTCCAGAATATGACATCACCTTCACTGTGACAGACAGAGGTTCTCCTCCTTTATCTGACAATGAAACTATGACCTTAGAGCTGCTGGATGTCAACGACAATGTCCCACAGTTCCCTCAGTCATTTTATACCATCCGTGTGATGGAGAATAACGCACCTGGAGCCCTGCTCAGCTCCCTCACTGCCTTTGACCCTGACCTCCATGAAAACCAGTATCTAGTTTATTTCATCCTGGAGAAGGAGATAGCCAACACCTCCATGTCCATGCTGTTCTCCATCAATCCAGAGAACGGAAATCTTTACGCACTCAAAACTTTTGACTATGAGATTGAGAAGGACTTTCTTTTCCACATTGAGGCCAGAGACTCTGGCTCTCCTCCTCTCAGCAGTAACGTCACAGTCCACATCATCATTGTGGACCAGAATGATAACGCTCCGGTCATTGTGTCTCCATGGAGAGCACATGGCTCAGTGGTGGAGGAAAAGATCCCCAGGTCCACAGATAAAGGCTCTCTGGTTGCCAAGGTGATAGCCTTGGACACAGACTCTGTGCACAACTCTCGGATCACCTACCAGTTTCTGCAGGTGACTGACGCCACCTTGTTCAGTCTGGACCAGTACAACGGAGAGATCCGGACCATGAGGATGTTCAGCTACAGAGACCCACGCCACCAGAGACTGGTTGTGGTTGCCAAGGACAACGGGCAGCCCGCTTTGTCTGCTACAGTCACCATCAAGCTGTCCACAGTGGAGACTGCTGTCAAGGCCTACTCTGACATGACTGAGGTGCCTCTGGCGTACGACATCTTCAATGACCTGAACCTGTACTTGGTCATCGGTCTGGGCTCGGTGTCATTTCTCCTGCTCATCACCATACTGGTCACCATCGTGCTCAAGTGTCAGAAAACCAAGCCCAGCAAAGCGGCTCCTCCCTGCAGGAACAGTGTGATCAGTGAGAGGAACTCCACCATCGCAGACTCCACTCTGGTGTCCAATGATGCCTACTGGTACAGTCTGTTTCTAGCAGAGACCAGGAAAGGAAAGCTGGTGGTCAGACAGCCTGTGCCAAAGGGATCCAGATACATTGTGTCCAGTATACCCAGAGGTACAGGACTGACAGATACTAGTGACTCAGCAGCTTCAACATTGCAGGTACAAGTCTAACTTACTTTGCTTTTGTAAACTCTGATATGCCAGTTATGTTAATTTGACTTTATGGTGTTTCAACCTTGTAGCTAATTTTTGTGCAATCTGAGTGGAAGTGGATTGTTGTAGTTTAACCCATCTGCCTGGTCACGTGTTTGATTCTCCTTTTTGACTATAAAAATTGAGAGAGAATTCAAAAGTACACAGCTGCAGGGTTAACAGTCAATTTTTTTTTGCCTGTACCGCTGAAAACTATGCCTTTAAAAGCTCAAAGAGGACAGTACTGAGGTAAAATAAGAGATGGAAAGTACAAAGAATTTCCACAAATGTAAGCCAAAGCAGCCTCTGCTATTTGTGTATGAAAAACATGCATCTCTGTGAATTTGTCGCACATCTTGTTGTGGTAGAGAAGCCCAGTGTTAGGCTGGTCCTGATTGGACTTAACGCAGTGGTGGGCTAAAAACAACACATTGTTTGTTTGTGTTTTACTCCCGAGTTTTAGGGTATAAATTGATATTTTATGTATAATATCTAAACATTCATTAATTCCTATGTGTAAATCAACAGAGTGAAAGAATTTAAAACGTAGCCTTGGCATCTATATTGGGAAAAACAACATAGTGACACACTTTAACCCCTGTGTATTTAATCCCCACTTATTGTGCAGATATTTCTCTAAAAATTGGAGGGTGGCGCTGTTTTCAAAATTAAGTGCCGACCCCTAAACGCCATGACACGAGTGGGTTTTCATAAGTGCTTCAGACGATCGGACAGCTCCGTGGTGCTGAAACTCTAACCGGACTATTCGCTGTTCCTTAAAAATACACGAGTGTGCTCGGGAGTAGTTCAGTGGCATCATGTACACGATCGATGCGGTTACAGTAATATTTACATAATTCCAGAAAATAGATTTTAATCGTTCAGAGTGCAGTACGTCTACACAACAATGGGACGCTTTGTAGCAATGGAGCCCTACAGGAGGTACGTGCTGTTCGGTGTTCTTTTCACTTTCGTTGGGAAAATATCGTCCTCAGTGACTCATTATTCAATACCAGAGGAAATGAAAGAAGGATCAATTGTTGCAAACCTTGCCGCCGATCTGAGCTTGGACGTTAAAACACTGAACCAGCGGAGGATGCGGCTCGACATCATTGCAAATAAGAAATATCTGGATGTGAACAAAGAGACTGGTGAGCTGTACGTTGTCGAGAAAATTGACAGAGAATACATTTGCACCACTAAATCGTCAGTGTCTTGCTATCTCAAACTGGAAATAATCCTTGATAATCCAGTACGAATTTTCAATATAGAAGTGGAAATTTTAGATATAAATGACAACGCCCCTCAGTTCAGAAGAGACGTCATTCATCTAGACATTTCTGAAGCGACGCCTGTAGGAGAGAGATTTTCTCTCAGCAACGCAGTTGATCCCGATGTTGGAATTAATTCTGTTAAAACATATCATCTAAGTGAAAGTGAGCAATTTAATATTGAAATACAGACTGGACGAGATGGGTCGAAATTTGCCGAATTAATCTTAAAAAAGAAATTGGATCGAGAGCAGCATGCTACTCATAATTTAATACTCACAGCTGTAGATGGAGGAACACCGGCTCGTTCAGGCACTGCAAGTGTAATAGTTCGCGTTTTAGACACCAATGATAATGCACCTACTTTTGACAGAGCAAGTTCTACTATAAAGATTATGGAAAATTCTCCTATTGGCAGTCTTGTTATTCACCTGAATGCCACAGACTTAGATGAGGGATCTAACTCTGATGTAACTTACTCTTACAGTTTATACACATCAGAGAAAACACAGGAAACATTTCACCTGAATCCCTCCACTGGTGAAATCACTGTTAAAGGCATGCTGAATTATGAGGATTTCAGGATTTATGATATGGAAGTTATAGCTACTGACAAAGGAGCCAACAGTTTGTCAGGACAATGTAGCATAAAGATTCTGGTAGAAGACATGAATGATAACCATCCAGAAATATCTATTAAATCATTTCAGAGTCCAGTCAATGAAAACATAGAACTAGACACAGTGATAGCTGTGGTTAGTGTGAGTGATAAAGACTCTGGTGATAATGGAGTGGTTGATCTTCATATTCCAGATAATATGCCTTTCAAACTGAGAGAGTCCTCTGATAACTATTATGAGTTAGTGGTGTCAGAGCCCTTAGACCGTGAGAAGGTTCCAGAATATGACATCACCTTCACTGTGACAGACAGAGGTTCTCCTCCTTTATCTGACAATGAAACTATGACCTTAGAGCTGCTGGATGTCAACGACAATGTCCCACAGTTCCCTCAGTCATTTTATACCATCCGTGTGATGGAGAATAACGCACCTGGAGCCCTGCTCAGCTCCCTCACTGCCTTTGACCCCGACCTCCATGAAAACCAGTATCTAGTTTATTTCATCCTGGAGAAGGAGATAGCCAACACCTCCATGTCCATGCTGTTCTCCATCAATCCAGAGAACGGAAATCTTTACGCACTCAAAACTTTTGACTATGAGATTGAGAAGGACTTTCTTTTCCACATTGAGGCCAGAGACTCTGGCTCTCCTCCTCTCAGCAGTAACGTCACAGTCCACATCATCATTGTGGACCAGAATGATAACGCTCCGGTCATTGTGTCTCCATGGCGAGCACATGGCTCAGTGGTGGAGGAAAAGATCCCCAGGTCCACAGATAAGGGCTCTCTGGTTGCCAAGGTGATAGCCTTGGACACAGACTCTGTGCACAACTCTCGGATCACCTACCAGTTTCTGCAGGTGACCGACGCCACCTTGTTCAGTCTGGACCAGTACAACGGAGAGATCCGGACCATGAGGATGTTCAGCTACAGAGACCCACGCCACCAGAGACTGGTTGTTGTTGCCAAGGACAACGGGCAGCCCGCTTTGTCTGCTACAGTCACCATCAAGCTGTCCACAGTGGAGACTGCTGTCAAGGCCTACTCTGACATGACTGAGGTGCCTCTGGCGTACGACATCTTCAATGACCTGAACCTGTACTTGGTCATCGGTCTGGGCTTGGTGTCATTTCTCCTGCTCATCACCATACTGGTCACCATCGTGCTCAAGTGTCAGAAAACCAAGCCCAGCAAAGCGGCTCCTCCCTGCAGGAACAGTGTGATCAGTGAGAGGAACTCCACCATCGCAGACTCCACTCTGGTGTCCAATGATGCCTACTGGTACAGTCTGTTTCTAGCAGAGACCAGGAAAGGAAAGCTGGTGGTCAGACAGCCTGTGCCAAAGGGATCCAGATACATTGTGTCCAGTATACCCAGAGGTACAGGACTGACAGATACTAGTGACTCAGCAGCCTCCACTCTGCAGGTACAAGTCTGACTTACATTTTTCTTGCAATTTTTTTAAATGCTGTTTATCTTAATTTTACTTCAGGCTGTTTCAACCTTGATGGCCAATTTCTGTGCTATTTGAATTGAGGTGGGTTGTTATAGTTCAACCTATCTGTCTGGTCCTGTGTTTGATTCCTCCCAGTGACAGTTAAAAACTGAAATTGAAATCAAATGCAAACAGCTGCAGTGTTAACAGTAAATGTTTTGCCTGTACCACTAAAAACCCAGCACCTTTCTCTTTAAGATTTAAAAGGCAAAGTTAAAATCAGAGAAGGGAAGAATAAACAATTTTCATGCATGGGAGCCAGAGCAGCCTTCGCTATTTGTGTGTGAATGTGGTGTGAATTGATGAATTTGACATGTCATGTAAAAGTGCTTTGGGTGGTCAAAAGACTAGAGAATGAAAACTAAACATAGTCTATTTAATGCAAACAGCATAATAGAGACAACAGGTAAAAGAGATAGATGGTGAACAGACTGATGTAATGTGACTTAAGTGAAGCACTGACTTTCTGTGATCAACACTCAACAATACATCCATCAGATATTCTCTAGATTTGCTCAAGGATGAAAGTGCAGCTCTCCTTTCCAAGGGAAGAAATCTAATTCAATTTTAAGATTATAACATATAACCTCAGTATACTTGAATCCTGCATATCCATTACTTTTGAATATGATCTTTAGTATCTTTCCCTCCTCAGACAGGCTCAAACATATTGCTTTAAACTTGAGGGTGTCTGTACCCCTCCACTCTGATACTTACAGATGACCAGCCGTGCTCCTCTATAGCATTTGTTAGACAGACAGGACAGATATTAGAGCAACTTTGCATTTGCTGTTTTAAAGAGTGTTTTTGAAAAGCACAGTTTTACTGTCATGATTAAGGGAATGCTTTTATAAGGTAGAGTTAGTTTTTAGATTTTTATGAAAGGTCATTAAAATAGTTATGCACCGTACATGACTTTAAGTACAGTATATGAATATTTCGAACATTATCTTGACAATTAAGTGTTTTACTGAGTTCATTAACTCTATATAATAGCTTCATCTTACTCACCCCACCCCTTTAGTATGATAACCTGTAAAATAAACAAGCAACTGGGGTGAATACGTCAAACATAATACCGGGCTAAAGTAACACAGTGTTGAGCTGTTCTTGATTAGATTGAACCCAGTGATGTATTTAAAAACAAAACATAATTTTTCTGTTTTTTTACTCCAGTTTTAGGGTCTAAATTAATATTTTATTCTAAATATCTTTACATTCATGAATTCCAATGTGCAAGTCGAGAGAATGACTGTATTCAACATTATTCAGCCGTTGCCTCTATATAGGAAAGAAAAAAACAACAATGTAGTGACACATTTTAAACCTCTGTTTATTCAATCTTCACTCTTTGTGCAAATATTTCTCTAAAAATTGGAGGGTGGCGCTGTTTTCAAAATTAAATGCCGACCCTAAACGCCATGACACGAGTGGGTTTTCATCAGTGCTTTAGACGATCGGACAGCTCCGTGGTGCTGAAACTCTAACCGGACTATGCGTTTTACCTTAATAACGCACGAGTGTGCTCGGGAGTAGTTCAGTGGCATCATGTATACGATCGTTGCGGTCACAGTAATTTCTGATGTTTCCAGAAAATAGATTTTAATCGTTCAGAGTTCAGCACGTTCACACAACAATAGGACGCTTTGTAGCAATGGAGCCCTACAGGAGGTACGTGCTGTTCGCTGTTCTTTTCACTTTCGTTGGAATAATATCATCCTCAGTGACTCATTATTCAATACCAGAGGAAATGAAAGAAGGATCAATTGTTGCAAACCTTGCCGCCGATCTGAGCTTGGATGTGAAAACACTGAAACAGCGGAAGATGCGGCTCGACATAATCGCAAATAAGAAATATCTGGATGTGAACAAAGAGACTGGTGAGCTGTACGTTGTGGAAAAGATAGACAGAGAACACCTTTGCCCTTTCAAGACGTCAGCGACTTGCTATCTCAAACTAGAAGTTATTCTCGAGAATCCGCTTCGAATTTTCAACATAGAAGTAGAAATATTAGATATGAACGACAACGCCCCTCAATTTAGAAGAGACGCCATTCATCTAGATATCTCTGAATCTACGCCAAAGGGAGAACGATTTTCCCTCAGCAATGCGGTCGATCCTGACATAGGAGGTAATTCAGTTAAAACATACCGTCTAAGTTACAGTCAATATTTTGACATTGAAGTGCAAACTGGCAGAGATGGGTCGAAATTTGCCGATTTAATTTTGATTAAGGCTTTAGATCGAGAGCAGGAGGCTGTTCATAATTTAATACTTACAGCTGTAGATGGAGGAACACCGGCTCGATCTGGTACTGCAAGTGTAATAGTTCATGTTTTGGACACAAATGATAACGCACCTACTTTTGACAGAACTAATAACACTGTAAAAATAATGGAAAACTCTCCCATAGGAAGTATTGTCATTCACCTGAACGCCACAGACCTAGATGAGGGATCTAACTCTGATGTAACTTACTCTTACAGTTTATACACTTCAGAGAAAACACAGGAAACATTTCACCTGAATCCCTCCACTGGTGAAATCACTGTTAAAGGCATGCTGAATTATGAGGATTTCAGGATTTATGATATGGAGATTATAGCTACTGACAAAGGAGCCAACAGTTTGTCAGGACAGTGTACCATAAAGATTCTGGTAGAAGACATGAATGATAACCATCCAGAAATATCTATTAAATCATTTCAGAGTCCAGTCAATGAAAACATAGAACTAGACACAGTGATAGCTGTGGTTAGTGTGAGTGATAAAGACTCTGGTGATAATGGAGTGGTTGATCTTCATATTCCAGATAATATGCCTTTCAAACTGAGAGAGTCCTCTGATAACTATTATGAGTTAGTGGTGTCAGAGCCCTTAGACCGTGAGAAGGTTCCAGAATATGACATCACCTTCACTGTGACAGACAGAGGTTCTCCTCCTTTATCTGACAATGAAACTATGACCTTAGAGCTGCTGGATGTCAACGACAATGTCCCACAGTTCCCTCAGTCATTTTATACCATCCGTGTGATGGAGAATAACGCACCTGGAGCCCTGCTCAGCTCCCTCACTGCCTTTGACCCTGACCTCCATGAAAACCAGTATCTAGTTTATTTCATCCTGGAGAAGGAGATAGCCAACACCTCCATGTCCATGCTGTTCTCCATCAATCCAGAGAACGGAAATCTTTACGCACTCAAAACTTTTGACTATGAGATTGAGAAGGACTTTCTTTTCCACATTGAGGCCAGAGACTCTGGCTCTCCTCCTCTCAGCAGTAACGTCACAGTCCACATCATCATTGTGGACCAGAATGATAATGCTCCGGTCATTGTGTCTCCGTGGCGAGCACACGGCTCAGTGGTGGAGGAAAAGATCCCCAGGTCCACAGATAAAGGCTCTCTGGTTGCCAAGGTGATAGCCTTGGACACAGACTCTGTGCACAACTCTCGGATCACCTACCAGTTTCTGCAGGTGACTGATGCCACCTTGTTCAGTCTGGACCAGTACAACGGAGAGATCCGGACTATGAGGATGTTCAGCTACAGAGACCCACGCCACCAGAGACTGGTTGTTGTTGCCAAGGACAACGGGCAGCCCGCTTTGTCTGCTACAGTCACCATCAAGCTGTCCACAGTGGAGACTGCTGTCAAGGCCTACGCTGACATGACTGAGGTGCCTCTGGCGTACGACATCTTCAATGACCTGAACCTGTACTTGGTCATCGGTCTGGGCTCGGTGTCATTTCTCCTGCTCATCACCATACTGGTCACCATCGTGCTCAAGTGTCAGAAAACCAAGCCCAGCAAAGCGGCTCCTCCCTGCAGGAACAGTGTGATCAGTGAGAGGAACTCCACCATCGCAGACTCCACTCTGGTGTCCAACGATGCCTACTGGTACAGTCTGTTTCTAGCAGAGACCAGGAAAGGAAAGCTGGTGGTCAGACAGCCTGTGCCAAAGGGATCCAGATACATTGTGTCCAGTATACCCAGAGGTACAGGACTGACAGACACGAGTGACTCAGCAGCCTCAACATTGCAGGTATGAGCCCCATTTGCACAACTATATAGTTGCTGCTCTGTCACGCACTTATTATTTTAAATGTTTGTAAGCTTTATATAAATGCATCTTTTATTGTGCATCACAACCACATTTATGAAGCCTTTTAAATCCATAAGACGTTATAACAACCCTTATGAGTCATCATGAGCATTCACAACAGTTTAATGTTCATAAATTGTTTTAAGCATTGAGCGTTATGTCTTATGTAGCTCTGGTATGTCATGCAAAATAGCTTAATACAGCAGAAACCGAAACCAAAGTGTTACATGCTAAATCATGAGATTTGTTACTTTGAGTAAAGTGACATCATTGTATCAGGTCATAAACAATTAAATTGTCCTATAACACATTTATTATAACTTAAGTGTTTTGTTGCTTTAAGTAAAGTATCTAACACCAATACTTTAGAACAATAACATAGTTTTACAATTATTATTTTTTGTTCTGCATTAAAGGTACAATGCATTTAAACCATTGAACCAACTAAGAATTGTTTTAAAGGCTTGTAGATACATTGATATATATTTATAGATGTGTTAATTTTAAGTGTGTGTGCGTGTGTGCGTGTGTATGTGTGTGTTATCCGAAAGGTGTATGGCTGATAAGCTTGAAACGAATTTATTGTAGCCGACTTTTTCTTCAGACACCTGAAGCGGCTTGTAGTTCCAAGTAGTACATTTTGTTATCTTTCACAGCGTTTCTTAACCTATGGTTTTCTAAGACATAACGAGTGGCGCTGTTTACTAAAAAAAAATACCACGACATAAACGCCATGACGAGGGTTTCATTTAAAAAGGGAGGGGCAGTAAAGAGAGGAGAGCTCTGTGGTGCTGAAGCCAGATGAAATAACAGAGATCACATTTCCGTTTGGATATATGAAGATTCTTTTGGGGATTTAACACACAAAACTGTGTTTTCATGAAGGTCGGATCAACTACCATTAACATCAGCGGAAACAAATGTTAAATCTAAGTAGCGTTTCAATAGATGATCACTCCCACAACAATGGACTCTGCCTTAATTATGCAGTCATACAAAAGGTACGTTTCGCTCCTTATTCTTTTTACCATGGTCCATTATATTTCTGCTTCAGTGACCCATTACTCAATTCCCGAAGAAATGAAAGAAGGATCTGTTGTCGCTAATCTTGCCACCGATCTGAGCCTGGACGTTAGAACTCTAAAACAGAGGAAGATGCGCCTTGACATCATCGCCAACAAAAAATACGTGGACGTGAACAAAGACACGGGTGAACTGTATATTGTAGAGAAAATAGATAGAGAACATTGCCCTACAAAGATGTCCGCATCATGTTATCTCAAACTTGAGGTGATACTTGAGAATCCGTTAAGAATTTTTAATATAGAACTAGAGATTTTAGATATAAACGACAACGCCCCTCAGTTTAGAAGAGACGCCATTCATTTAGACATTTCCGAATCAACGTCCGCGGGAGAAAGATTCTCTCTCAGTAATGCAGTTGATCCCGATATTGAAACTAATTCAGTCAAAACATACATTTTAAGTAGCAGTGAGCATTTCAACATAGAAGTTCAAACTGGAAGAGATGGGTCAAAATTTGCAGATTTGATATTAACAAAGGCTTTAGATCGAGAGCAGCAAGCTGTTCACAATTTAATACTCACAGCTGTAGATGGGGGGCAGCCTGCTCGATCTGGAACGGCCAGTATAATAGTTCATGTTTTGGACACAAATGACAATGCACCAAAATTTAATCAACAAAACTATAACATTGAAATTATGGAAAACTCCCCCATAGGAAGCCTTGTCATTCATCTAAATGCCACAGACTTAGATGAGGGATCTAACTCTGATGTAACTTACTCTTACAGTTTATACACTTCAGAGAAAACACAGGAAACATTTCACCTGAATCCCTCCACCGGTGAAATCACTGTTAAAGGCATGCTGAATTATGAGGATTTCAGGATTTATGATATGGAGATTATAGCTACTGACAAAGGAGCCAACAGTTTGTCAGGACAGTGTACCATCAAGATTCTGGTAGAAGACATGAATGATAACCACCCAGAAATATCTATTAAATCATTTCAGAGTCCAGTCAATGAAAACATAGAACTAGACACAGTGATAGCTGTGGTTAGTGTGAGTGATAAAGACTCTGGTGATAATGGAGTGGTTGATCTTCATATTCCAGATAATATGCCTTTCAAACTGAGAGAGTCCTCTGATAACTATTATGAGTTAGTGGTGTCAGAGCCCTTAGACCGTGAGAAGGTTCCAGAATATGACATCACCTTCACTGTGACAGACAGAGGTTCTCCTCCTTTATCTGACAATGAAACTATGACCTTAGAGCTGCTGGATGTCAACGACAATGTCCCACAGTTCCCTCAGTCTTTTTATACCATCCGTGTGATGGAGAATAACGCACCTGGAGCCCTGCTCAGCTCCCTCACTGCCTTTGACCCTGACCTCCATGAAAACCAGTATCTAGTTTATTTCATCCTGGAGAAGGAGATAGCCAACACCTCCATGTCCATGCTGTTCTCCATCAATCCAGAGAACGGAAATCTTTACGCACTCAAAACTTTTGACTATGAGATTGAGAAGGACTTTCTTTTCCACATTGAGGCCAGAGACTCTGGCTCTCCTCCTCTCAGCAGTAACGTCACAGTCCACATCATCATTGTGGACCAGAATGATAACGCTCCGGTCATTGTGTCTCCATGGCGAGCACATGGCTCAGTGGTGGAGGAAAAGATCCCCAGGTCCACAGATAAGGGCTCTCTGGTTGCCAAGGTGATAGCCTTGGACACAGACTCTGTGCACAACTCTCGGATCACCTACCAGTTTCTGCAGGTGACCGACGCCACCTTGTTCAGTCTGGACCAGTACAACGGAGAGATCCGGACTATGAGGATGTTCAGCTACAGAGACCCACGCCACCAGAGACTGGTTGTTGTTGCCAAGGACAACGGGCAGCCCGCTCTGTCTGCTACAGTCACCATCAAGCTGTCCACAGTGGAGACTGCTGTCAAGGCCTACGCTGACATGACTGAGGTGCCTCTGGCGTACGACATCTTCAATGACCTGAACCTGTACTTGGTCATCGGTCTGGGCTCGGTGTCATTTCTCCTGCTCATCACCATACTGGTCACCATCGTGCTCAAGTGTCAGAAAACCAAGCCCAGCAAAGCGGCTCCTCCCTGCAGGAACAGTGTGATCAGTGAGAGGAACTCCACCATCGCAGACTCCACTCTGGTGTCCAACGATGCCTACTGGTACAGTCTGTTTCTAGCAGAGACCAGGAAAGGAAAGCTGGTGGTCAGACAGCCTGTGCCAAAGGGATCCAGATACATTGTGTCCAGTATACCCAGAGGTACAGGACTGACAGACACGAGTGACTCAGCAGCCTCCACTCTGCAGGTACAAGTCTGACTTACATTTTTCTTGCATTCTTTAAAATGCCATTTATTTTAATTTCACTTCATGCTGGCGAAACTTTGTTGGCCAACCTTTGTGCTATTTGAATGAAGGTGGGTTCTTTAGTTCAACCCATCTGCCTGGTCATGTGTTTTATTCCTCCCAGTGACTGTTACAAAGTAAGAGAGAAATCAAATGCAAACAGCTGCAGCCTTAACAGTATTTTTTTTTTTTTTGCCTGTCGTTGAAAATTCAGCACCTTCCTCTCTAAGCTTTAAAAGGCAACGTTAAAATCAGAGAAAGGAAGAATAAACAATTTTCACACATGGGAGCCATAGCAGCCTCCGCTATTTGTGTGTGAATGTGGTGTGAATGGGTGAATTTGACATGTTATGTAAAAGTGCTTTGAGTGGTCAAAAGACTAGAGAATGCAATATAAACATAGTCCATTTAATGCTAACAGTATAATAGAGACAACAGGTGAAAGAGATAAATGGTGAACAGACTGATGTAATGTGAGTTCAGGGAAGCACTGAAATGCTGTGATCAACAATACATCCATCAGATATTCTCTAGATTTGCGCAAGGATGAAAGCACAGTTGTCCTGTCCGAGGGAAGAAATCCAATCCAATCTTCAGGTTATAACATGTTACCTATCCTTGAATTCTTAGTATCCATTATTTTTTAATGTAATCTTTAGTATCTTTCCCTCCTCAAAAAGGCTCAAACATGATGTTGTAACTTGAGGCCGTACCCTTCTATCCTGACATTTACAGATGACCAGCTGTGCTCCCCTAAAGTATTTGTTAGACAGCAAGTTTGTATTTGCTGTTTTAAAAAGTGTTTTTGAAAAATACAATTTTGCTGTTATGATTGAGGGACTGCTATAGTGATGTACAATTAGTTTTTGGTGTTTATAAAAAGTCATTAAAATATTTATATTCTACGTGACTTTGGGTAAAGGAATTTTTTTTAAATTCTACCTGATAATTAAGTGAGATATTGAGTACATTGACACTATGAAAAAGCTTTGTATGACTCAACCCATATTGGGTTGATTTTAACACACCTCTGGGACAAAGTAGGCCCAAAATGTGATTAACTGAACCCAGCATGTAGGGTTTACAATTCGAGGAACACGCTGGTTCATTTTTATTGATGGACTTAGTGGTACCAAGTGAAAACAAACATGCAACTGGGGTATTTATTTCATACATCTGGCTGAGTTAAGGAAATCCAGTGGTTAGCTGGTCCAAATTGTATTTGACCCAGGGGTGTATTTAAAGAAAAAGTTTTTTACCCCAGAGTTTTAGGGTGTAAATACATATTATATGAACAGAACAACATCTTAACATTCATTAATTCCAAAGTGCAAGTCAAGAGAATGACCGTTTTTACTGATCCTATCTATATTCGGGAAAAAGAACATAGTGAAACACTTTTAATCACTGTTTATTTAATCTTCAGTATTTGTACATATATTTCTCTAAAAATTGGAGGGTGGCGCTGTTTTCAAAATTAAATGCCGGCCCCTAAACGTCATGACACGAGACAGTTTTCATCAGTGCTTTAGACGATCGGACAGCTCCGTGGTGCTGAAACTCTAACCGGACTAGGCGTTTTTCTTTAAAAGCCTATGAGTGTGCTCGGAAGTGTAGGGCTCTCATGTACGATATCGTTGCGGTCACAGAAATATCTGATGTTTCTAGAAATTAGATTTTAATCGTTCAGACCGCATTACGTCCACACAACAATAGGACGCTTTGTAGCAATGGAGCCCTGCAGGAGGTACGTGCTGTTCGCTGTTCTTTTCACTTTCGTTGGGAAAATATCGTCTTCAGTGACTCATTATTCAATACCAGAGGAAATGAAAGAAGGATCAATTGTTGCAAACCTTGCCGCCGATCTGAGCTTGGATGTGAAAACACTGAAACAGCGGAGGATGCGGCTCGACATTATTGCAAATAAGAAATATCTGGACGTGAACAAAGAGACTGGTGAGCTGTATATCGTGGAGAAAATTGACAGAGAAGACATATGCAATACAAAATCGTCAGCGACTTGTTATCTGAGACTGGAAGTTACACTAGAAAACCCTATACGAATTTTTAACATAGAAGTAGAAATTTTAGATATAAATGACAACGCCCCTCAGTTTAGAAGAGACGTCATACACTTGGATATCTCTGAATCGACGCCTGTAGGAGAGAGATTTTCTCTCAGTAATGCTGTTGATCCCGATGTTGGAACAAATTCTGTGAAAACATACCGCCTGAGTGAAAGTGAACATTTCAATATTGAGGTTCAAACGGTAAGAGAGGGAGCAAAGTTTGCCGAGTTGATTTTGGTAAAGGCTTTAGATCGAGAGAAGCAAGCTGTCCATAATTTAATACTCACAGCTGTAGATGGAGGAACACCGGCTCGATCAGGCACTGCAAGTGTAATAATTCGTGTTTTAGACACAAACGATAATGCACCCACATTTACGAAAGTGAATTATGAGATAAAAATAATGGAAAACTCTCCCATAGGGAGTCTTGTTATCCATCTGAATGCCACAGACTTAGATGAGGGATCTAACTCTGATGTAACTTACTCTTACAGTTTATACACTTCAGAGAAAACACAGGAAACATTTCACCTGAATCCCTCCACTGGTGAAATCACTGTTAAAGGCATGCTGAATTATGAGGATTTCAGGATTTATGATATGGAAGTTATAGCTACTGACAAAGGAGCCAACAGTTTGTCAGGACAGTGTACCATAAAGATTCTGGTAGAAGACATGAATGATAACCACCCAGAAATATCTATTAAATCATTTCAGAGTCCAGTCAATGAAAACATAGAACTAGACACAGTGATAGCTGTGGTTAGTGTGAGTGATAAAGACTCTGGTGATAATGGAGTGGTTGATCTTCATATTCCAGATAATATGCCTTTCAAACTGAGAGAGTCCTCTGATAACTATTACGAGTTAGTGGTGTCAGAGCCCTTAGACCGGGAGAAGGTTCCAGAATATGACATCACCTTCACTGTGACAGACAGAGGTTCTCCTCCTTTATCTGACAATGAAACTATGACCTTAGAGCTGCTGGATGTCAACGACAATGTCCCACAGTTCCCTCAGTCATTTTATACCATCCGTGTGATGGAAAATAACGCACCTGGAGCCCTGCTCAGCTCCCTCACTGCCTTTGACCCTGACCTCCATGAAAACCAGTATCTAGTTTATTTCATCCTGGAGAAGGAGATAGCCAACACCTCCATGTCCATGCTGTTCTCCATCAATCCAGAGAACGGAAATCTTTACGCACTCAAAACTTTTGACTATGAGATTGAGAAAGACTTTCTTTTCCACATTGAGGCCAGAGACTCTGGCTCTCCTCCTCTCAGCAGTAACGTCACAGTCCACATCATCATTGTGGACCAGAATGATAACGCTCCGGTCATTGTGTCTCCGTGGAGAGCACACGGCTCAGTGGTGGAGGAAAAGATCCCCAGGTCCACAGATAAAGGCTCCCTGGTTGCCAAGGTGATAGCCTTGGACACAGACTCTGTGCACAACTCTCGGATCACCTACCAGTTTCTGCAGGTGACTGACGCCACCTTGTTCAGTCTGGACCAGTACAACGGAGAGATCAGGACTATGAGGATGTTCAGCTACAGAGATCCCCGCCACCAGAGACTGGTTGTTGTTGCCAAGGACAACGGGCAGCCCGCTCTGTCTGCGACAGTCACCATCAAGCTGTCCACAGTGGAGACTGCTGTCAAGGCCTACTCTGACATGACTGAGGTGCCTCTGGCGTACGACATCTTCAATGACCTGAACCTGTACTTGGTCATCGGTCTGGGCTCAGTGTCATTTCTCCTGCTCATCACCATACTGGTCACCATCGTGCTCAAGTGTCAGAAAACCAAGCCCAGCAAAGCGGCTCCTCCCTGCAGGAACAGTGTGATCAGTGAGAGGAACTCCACCATCGCAGACTCCACTCTGGTGTCCAACGATGCCTACTGGTACAGTCTGTTTCTAGCAGAGACCAGGAAAGGAAAGCTGGTGGTCAGACAGCCTGTGCCAAAGGGATCCAGATACATTGTGTCCAGTATACCCAGAGGTACAGGACTGACAGATACCAGTGACTCAGCAGCCTCCACTCTGCAGGTAAAAACCAAAACATAATTGATTGAAAACATATCGCAAAACTAATTTAAATCAAAAGAATTCTTACTTATAGTTTTTGCACATTTTTTAATGGGGCAAAATCTTCGAAAACGCACTTGGTTATGAGTTTGCATACATGTGAACACTTAGTCAAGAAGTGCAACAGTGTTGAAATAGCTGTACAAATATTTTTTTGCTTCTTTGATGACAGTTGGCACTGTCACTTGCAGGCTAAACTATGTTCTTAATAACTTTGTTGGCACTATGAAAGTTTTTCATTAGAAAGATCAATTATTGACTGTGTCTGCATGAACAGCTCCTGGTGCTGAAGAAGGATTTTTTTTTCCAGTCTCCACTCTGTAAGACCACTCTGTTGGGCAAAAACACGCATAGATGAAAGCTTTTCAAATAACATCACAGGACTGATTACATATAAGTTTTCTGAAACTTTTCCAATTTATTAGGGTGACAGTCAAGACAAAAATTGGGCATGTACACCCTTCCTTCTTCAAGACAACACCTCTCTTTTAGAACTTTTGCAGGTACAATCGATTGAATCTTTTTAATTATTAGAGTTTATTATGAGAAACTGCTATTAAGAGTTTACAGAGGTATAATCTCTGGGTTTTTTTGGTAAATTTGAGAACTTAGTTGTTATATGCTTTTCCATTTTTCTATAATTTGTTGAGGCTCAAACAGTTGTAGAAGAAATAACAATGATATCGCAGCCTACTTGAGGGATGGTCTAAGGACCAGAAATGCATTATCTTATCAAATAATGTGTTTGGAGTTCCGTCGACTTATCGTAGGAAACAGTAACAATCATAATGATGCAATGAAACAACTGTAAGTGTCTGTTTGTTTCACGCCGCGTCGCTGTTCCTCAGTGAAATATACTTGTGACAACACAGTCGCCATGACAGTCTTCATTTCACGGGAGAGACAAGAACGGGGAAGAACGGCACATGAACAGCTCCCGGTGCTGATTTTTTCCGGCAAATCGTAAAATTATTTGTGCGTCTCTATGGAAGTTAAGGAAATATTCCAGAAGATTAAAAAGCTGTGCTGAGAAATTTTAAACAATTCGAAGTAGGAAAAAAATCTGGCTTAACCATGGGAGGTTTTCTCGTTCCTGAAGAGTGGAAAAGGTATGTGCTTATACTTCTCCTTCTCAACGAAGTCTTTAACTTCGCGTCAGCTGTAACACACTATTCTGTTCCCGAGGAATTGGAAGAGGGCTCTGTCGTGGCAAATTTGGCTGGAGATTTGGGACTGGATGTAAAAACCTTTGTCGCACGGAAAATGCGAATAGAGGCCATTACCAACAGGAAATATCTGGACGTGAACAAAGAAACAGGGGAGCTGTACATTGTCGAACGGATTGACAGAGAGTCTCTGTGCCTCGCCAAGACATCCTGTTATATAAAATTGGAGGCAATCATCGAAAACCCCAAAAGGATATTTTATATAGAAATCGAGATAACGGATATAAATGACAACGCACCTCACTTCAGGAGAGACACGATAGATTTAGATATTTCAGAGGCTACTCAGGCTGGTGAACGCTTTTCTGTGAGCAACGCAGTTGACCCAGACGTTGGTTCAAACTCCGTGAAAACATATCACCTGAGTGAAAGCGCTTACTTCACGATTGAGATTCAAACTGGGAGGGATGGATCAAAATTCGCTGATTTAATCCTGAAAAAGGCTTTAGACAGGGAGCAGCAGGCTGTTCATAATTTAATTCTTACAGCAGTAGATGGCGGTATGCCGTCTCGTTCGGGTACTGCAAGTATTGTGGTTCATGTTTTAGACACAAATGACAACGCCCCTACATTTAAGGAAGAAAGCTATCAATTTAGTGTAATGGAAAATTCTCCGATTGGAAGTCTTGTGGTCAGACTAAATGCAACTGATTTAGATGAAGGTTCAAATTCTGAGTTGATATACACATACAGTCTGTACACATCAGAGAAAACTCAGTCAATGTTTTATTTAAATCCCAAAACAGGAGAGGTAACAGTTAAAGGCATGCTGAATTATGAGGATTTCAGGATTTATGATATGGAAGTTATAGCTACAGACAAAGGAGCTAGCAGCTTGTCAGGACAATGTACCATAAAGATTCTGGTAGAAGACATGAATGATAACCACCCAGAAATATCTATTAAATCATTTCAGAGTCCAGTCAATGAAAACATAGAACTAGACACAGTGATAGCTGTGGTTAGTGTGAGTGATAAAGACTCTGGTGATAATGGAGTGGTTGATCTTCATATTCCAGATAATATGCCTTTCAAACTGAGAGAGTCCTCTGATAACTATTATGAGTTAGTGGTGTCAGAGCCCTTAGACCGTGAGAAGGTTCCAGAATATGACATCACCTTCACTGTGACAGACAGAGGTTCTCCTCCTTTATCTGACAATGAAACTATGACCTTAGAGCTGCTGGATGTCAACGACAATGTCCCACAGTTCCCTCAGTCATTTTATACCATCCGTGTGATGGAGAATAACGCACCTGGAGCCCTGCTCAGCTCCCTCACTGCCTTTGACCCTGACCTCCATGAAAACCAGTATCTAGTTTATTTCATCCTGGAGAAGGAGATAGCCAACACCTCCATGTCCATGCTGTTCTCCATCAATCCAGAGAACGGAAATCTTTACGCACTCAAAACTTTTGACTATGAGATTGAGAAGGACTTTCTTTTCCACATTGAGGCCAGAGACTCTGGCTCTCCTCCTCTCAGCAGTAACGTCACAGTCCACATCATCATTGTGGACCAGAATGATAACGCTCCGGTCATTGTGTCTCCGTGGCGAGCACACGGCTCAGTGGTGGAGGAAAAGATCCCCAGGTCCACAGATAAAGGCTCTCTGGTTGCCAAGGTGATAGCCTTGGACACAGACTCTGTGCACAACTCTCGGATCACCTACCAGTTTCTGCAGGTGACTGACGCCACCTTGTTCAGTCTGGACCAATACAACGGAGAGATCCGGACTATGAGGATGTTCAGCTACAGAGACCCACGCCACCAGAGACTGGTTGTTGTTGCCAAGGACAACGGGCAGCCCGCTCTGTCTGCTACAGTCACCATCAAGCTGTCCACAGTGGAGACTGCTGTCAAGGCCTACTCTGACATGACTGAGGTGCCTCTGGCATACGACATCTTCAATGACCTGAACCTGTACTTGGTCATCGGTCTGGGCTCGGTGTCATTTCTCCTGCTCATCACCATACTGGTCACCATCGTGCTCAAGTGTCAGAAAACCAAGCCCAGCAAAGCGGCTCCTCCCTGCAGGAACAGTGTGATCAGTGAGAGGAACTCCACCATCGCAGACTCCACTCTGGTGTCCAACGATGCCTACTGGTACAGTCTGTTTCTAGCAGAGACCAGGAAAGGAAAGCTGGTGGTCAGACAGCCTGTGCCAAAGGGATCCAGATACATTGTGTCCAGTATACCCAGAGGTACAGGACTGACAGATACCAGTGACTCAGCAGCCTCCACTCTGCAGGTATGAGAAAAGATATATGACACCTTCTTTTACAAAAAAAAAAAAAAAAACTCTTGTGAGTAACTTATGCATTTACTATTTGTTGACAACGAAAGTCAAGAATCTATTCCATGCCTTAGCTTCAGGATTTGGTCTCTCCGCTCTGCTTACCTTGCACATGATGTGTAATGGAATTCTACTGACAACTGTGTTGAAACATAATCATTACAGTACCATCTACCCTCCTAATTCCACATGGTGATTTTTAAGGCTATTTATATTGTATATATTGATATACTGTATATA